TCTCGATCCTCTGTTTTGATTCCCAGAGAATTTTTCGTTTGATAATTTTCTCAGGAAAATTATAACGGTGGTGGTGGTGATGATGAAATCGAAACGTCGTGGATTTATGATAATTTCAACAAAAGGTTTGTTACAGATGAATTAAATATTTGTATTGAAATCGTCAGTTACTAAATTTGTGTATATGATCTGAAAATAACAGGAAGAACCCATACAGTGAACAAGAGGAATCGGTGAATTACATGGATTCCAAAGCTATGGAGAATCGATCATCAGAAGATACCGTCGTTGAATCTCGCCGCCGGTTAAAGAAAAGCGGTGAGACAACGACGGTGAAAGAAGGTGAGATTGAAGATTTTTTCCAAACGGCAGAGAAAGATCTCCGGAATAAAATGTTGGAATGTTCAAGAAAGTAAGTTTTTCTTTTTAAATTTTTTAAAAATAAAATTCAAATCCATCATGAACAATTCAATCAAAGTTTTATAAAAGTAAAACGATTAAGAGAAATTACTAATTTGCAGGTATAATTTCGATTTCGAGAAAGATGAGCCATTAGGTGGACGATACGAGTGGGTAAAATTGAATCCTTGAAGACCAAGACGATGATGATTGATGATCACTCACACCAATGTAGTTATTTCTCTTCTATGCTAATAAATCTATTGAAAAAATGTAATCTATTCATTTTTCTTACCCCTAAAAAAGCAAATGTAAATATTTCTCAAATAATCAATACCATGTAATTCAGAAACTCCAACGTACTTGGATTTATGTTTTTTTTTTTTTTGCTAACAATTCGTTTTAAGTTTATGTTATTGGAACTAAAAGAGTCGTCGCTTCATGAAGATGAAACTTCAGAATGGAACCGGAATCGAGGAGGAAGACAAATCAAACCAACTCTAAAATTTTGAAAATGCAATGAATTATCACTACAAGAAAACAGGCAGTATACCGACGGAATTTCTGACGGACGTAATATCCGTCGAAAATTTCCGACGACATACCGATGGATTTCCGAGCAAAATTAGTCCGTCGGAAATCCGTCGGTTTATTGTGACGGATTTCCGACGGCCAAAGAATCCGTCGGTATTCTGTCAGAAATCCGTCGCCCCGTACCGACGGATTTCCGACGGAAAAAAGATGTCGTAATTTTCCGACGACTTTCCGACGGAATAACGACTTTCCGATGTCAGCAAAGTTTGAGTGGTCAGCTCATACCGACGGAAATAAATCCGTCGGAAATCCGTCGGTATGTCGATGTCGGCAAAATTTGAGTGGTTAACATTTCGTTAGCGGTGGCCGATGGGATTGGTGGGGTGTTGTGTCGGATTTTTGTAACGAATTTCCGACGGATTTCCGACGGAAATCTGTTCTATATAAGCTACGACATTTCTACATTCGTTCATAACACAATTGTAAAAAGCCAAAAAATTTGTTAGCGATGAGTTCATATTTTCGGTCTTGGATGGACGAGCCAATGATGGATATGGGCTCGAACTTATTAACGTCCACATACGCTGCAGGTATATGCGAATTCATGAATTTACCCAGAAATCAAGATGCAGCAAAAAAAGGTCAGGATATCAAATGTCCATGTTCTAATTGCTGTAATAGAATTAGTGTTGCGGTGCATACTGTTTGGAATCACTTATATAGATATGGATTTAGGCCGGGATATAAG